GTGTTTTCTCTCCGCGTTGTCGTTGGGGGTTAAGCAAGAGTCGCTCGTGTCATTCGTACGCTTAGACCAAACACAACAGGCTGAACTCAGACGTGTGTGAAGCACATATTCATTGTGCGTATGAGTGCAGAGGCAATACAAAAACCTGAGAGTGCAATACACTTATCGTGGCGTGTGCACAAATGCAGAAGACTGAGAATGAATAACCACAGGAATTCATCAAAACATCCTGTATTCTCAGCGAATTGGGGAAACTTTGCGGAACAAGGCATTATTAGCAGACGCGCTTATTACTAAGGGTTGTTGTCCGTTTCTCTATATGAACTTGTCAGTCATCAGATAAATATAATTAAGCACCGTGGCGATACCGTATTCAATGAAGATTTTGAAGTGTGATTACGGTTAATTAAAAGCTACAGGCGGCTAGTGGTATGAGGTCATCGAATTATTATCAAGTATATTCGAATGTTTAAAGATGTCCAATAAAAAAACAGTAACTTACCTAGAGGCCAAGCAATCTCCTCCATGAAATAATGAGCCAATGTTCGATGTTTTGGGTCTACTTTACGCACAATAGCATCAGCTAATAGAGCCAATGAATGAACGTGCACCAAACGTGTTTCTGAAGAAGATAAGTTACCGGAACATAGCACCCCGATGCGTACTTGGAGGATGAGAAGGAACTTGATGAGTTATATTTCGAATAACTGCCGTGTAGTCGTCTCGCCAAAACGATAAAGTTACTGGATCCAGAAAATAAGGATAACCAGCCTGTAGGACAGCTTATTATACGGTGTATAGTATCGAGTACCTGGTGTGTGAGCAGATCTAACACGGTCACTTTTGTTGCTGAAAACGTGGGAATGTATTTTACCACCGGATCAGTTAAATTCACCAAAGACCTGTTGAAAGGTGTGGTGATAGGGATTGAAGAATAACCGACCTTTGTACAAGAAGAGCAAAAGTAAATGATACGGATAATAGACCTAGACTGAAAGTTTGTGTGACCGTGTTCTGAGTCCAAGCCAACTGAAACCGTTTATCCATGTAACCTCCGAAGATGTTAAGGACATTGTCAGTTCCACGATACACAGAAAATGACGAACCAGACTCCGCTCCAGACTGAATAAGGTTTCTAAAGGACGGTGAAACAATCAGATGAACTTACTTGTATACATGCACAGCTTGCCTGAAGCTCTGTGCACTTGTCCCATCCATCACTGGAGGCAAAACTGTCCACGTAAAGTGGACATAACCAGCAATTACACAGAGAAGACCGAATATAATGGCATCCTTCAAGGTGAACATACTGCACCTAAAATAAATTGATAACCGGTTTACATCAAAGTTTCGCTTAGATCAGCATACTCATGGTAGAGCGAAATGAACGTGATTGCTGCAAAACTCACAAAAAACATAAAGTAAGAGAGAATATGAGGAGGATGGGGATCGGGCCTGTTTGGGGGACGGGCAAAGACAGTGAACTACTTTGGCCAACGATGATCACACTTTTTCAAGTAGCCCAACTTCATAAGAAATTATATCAAGAACACCAATGCTATCGGTTCGCTACCACGTCTTACTGCTTTCAAACAGTTCAATTCAATTCGAACAACCATTACCATGCACTTTTGTGCGCCGGTTTTGGTTACTGTCTTTTGGCTGCCCATTTGGATGAACAGTAAGAGAAGGACGGGAAAGTTGAAAGTGGAATAGAACAGACAATTGGAAATTTCATTGGATTAATGTACAAAGAAATTGAGAAGATGCACGAACGTCACTGTTTACGCCATATCATTCAGTGTCTTTAAACATCGACTGCGATTGTCCCGAGGTACCCAGCCAATTTGATAGAGAGGAAACGCCTGCTCCAACTCATGGCTCTGTGCATTTCCTCAGGTTTCGTCTCCAAGCGATTTTTGACCTCTACATGGTTTCCCCTCACCTGGAGCAGCAACATCGAATAATACATGACCGTTAGGTAAGTGTAAAACGTGTCCCAATCACTAAAGTCTTGTAAGCTGAATTCTATGTGACAGCGAATTATTCTTCGATAGATTCCCAAACACGATGGCTTACCTCAAAGCTACTAACTCGGTCACTTCGACACACCTTTACTAAACTACGTAACCAGTGACTGGCAAAGGTGTCTTCTACTTGCAAAATTAAGGTCTTACAACCCAACCTTAGTGAAACGTCACATCGACGCCAAAGTTGTTTCAGTCCTGCGTGCATATGTTGCCCGAGCCCTGAAAATGTGTAGTTATCTCCCTTACTGAACGGTTACACGAATGCCTAAGAGAAGTAGATTAACTACATCTAATTCCTGACACTCAAGCCTGAGAGCTGCAGTAGATTAAATCCAGTCTTGCTGCGTTCCACGACTTGCAAGTGGGCCGAATACTGCCAGGTTGCCCAGGCCAAGGCAGGTGAATTTTCTTGAGGAATTCACAACCGGAGTGTGATGAGCTCGAATGCTTGAGTGACGAACGAGGGGGAGAAAACGGACAGCCAGAAATGAGGCTTTATTCTTCTAGCAATCATCAGCTACAATAGAAAGATAGAAGATCTACATTATCAGTAAACGGTGATGTAGTGGTATAAAGATCAAAGGTATAACAAAATCACTACACGGAGCCTTTGGCTAGCCAAAGCCTGACCCGCAAGGAAGCGGGGCGGTGTGCGAAAACCACAATCCATTGGGAGCCGGTGTCCATTTCATCGGATCATACACCTTCTGGACGGGTTCAAACGTCCAATGTGCCCAATACACCTCGATGCCCGATCGAGCCGATGACCATTGCCACAACCGGAAAAGTGTGGGTGTGGTTTGTACGCCGCCTCTTGTTTGGTTTGGAATCAGGGTTTTTGGCCAACTCCCCTAGGTGAACTGCTAGTGGTTCACCAACCCGGTTATAGCCCAGATGTCGGCTTTTCGTCCTCTCACTTTGGTGCAAAAACACCTCTGCCATTGAACATTATTAAACAGGTCCCGTCCCCGTGAGAGGAATCGACTGCCGTCCCCATCTTCAAGAAAGTACGTCAAACACAGAGGGATAAGCCTTATCCCAAGAGCGCAAAAGCTGATTGCATCCGTCATCATCATCATCATCATCATCATCATCGTACAGCGAAACACAGTGAAGCGAACTTCACTGAACGCTGCCTAACTCGCAATGCATACAAAATTAGTGGTACAATTTAAGGTGGACAGGGATTAGAACTATTTTGAGGGAGGGAGAAGAAGATGAGCCCTTATGGTCAACACACAGAATAAGCAATCGAACTCCGCATACATACCGTTTCAAGCATTCTGACCTGATAAGAAACGACAACAAAAACGCCGCTGATACCGGTTCGCTGTCACATCTTTCAATGTCTCTAACCAACCAGTTGTGGAGTCTTTCGGACCCCGACCTGGAAGGCGAAAGACACCTACTTTACCTAAGGGCTCTGTGCATTTCTTCATGCCTCGTCTCCACGTCATCTGTTGACCTCCACGTGGTTTCCTCCAGCCCGGATTAGCTGCAGCGAATAAAGCACGGTGCGGAAGACGACAGCTGNCAATACGTGCCCAGAGAAGTCTACCAATCTGAATTCGGGATGCCAGCAGGTTTATACCTGACAGACTCCCAAACACACGACGGTTTACCTCCACGTTACTAACCCGTTCGCTCCATCCAACATGGGCTAAACTGCGTAAACACCGATAATCGAAAACTTCTAGTCGCAAATTCAGGGTCTCACAACCATTAAGTAGGACTGAACGAACGCTAACACAATATACACGACCTTTCAACTTCAGTGAAACGTCGCGTCTACGCCAAAGGTGTTTCAGTCCTGCGTATGCTGCTCGAGCCT